TTAGAAAACAAGGAAAATTACTTTTAAAATTACAAAAATGTTTCTGGAACTCAGTGTGAACAGAAATCTTTAATACATTACGATAAAAAAATGTGGTGTGTTTGTGTGTGTGTGTGTGCTGTGCCATAAATTTTGTGCGCACATTTGTCATTCTCATATCTAGCCTAGATGCTATTTTAGTTATTTAATGTTAAGAAGTTGAGTGAATATGTAAGACCAGAACAGAAGTTAGCTGCAGCAGGCAGTTCTTTTGTTCTTGGCAGATCAAGTATTCATTCCACGCCTACCAATCCTCCAAGGACACCGTAGAATTGCGAAGGAAGCAGCTGAATGACCCATACTGGCGACCTCCCCCCTTATGTGTAGTCAATGTAAGTACTGGTTTATTGTGTAATGTGAAGATATTATGTTAAAACCCTTCATACCATGTAGCACTATAGTACAAAAGTCAAATAAAGCAGCTACTTTCACCACAATTATTGGCTGTATATTTCTTTACTTGCCAAACACATTTTAGCTTCATCAGTGGCTATGCATTAAATATTTGGTTCAGTATATAATAAAAAGTACATTAATTATAAAAGTTCTGTGTCATAGCAAAATGACTGACTCATACAAACATTAAAATCCAGAAGAGATGTTTGAGTTAAAAATAAATGCACATTTAAGCACTCCATACTTGTTTCTTTTTTTAAATCATACAAAATTATTGCCGTAAATTTACATTACTGTGCATCTATTATAATTTAGTTATTAGGTGTTACTTTCACTTGTTATAGAGTGTACTTTTCTAATCTTTTATGGCAGTTTAAGGCTCAGAAACTTTCTGATAGTTATATGTTACACTTGTCTTGCGTAGTATCTTATATATAAGCAACCACTGATGATGACTTCATGAAGCTAAAATGTGTTGGCAAGTTAAGAAATAAATAATTAATTGTGTTAAAAATGGTTGGTTTATTCAACAATTGGAAATATTACCTTCAATACAATTTTTGGTCTCCTGTTTGCACGTCTGTTGGTTAATTTGTCTTCATTGTACATAAACATTTAAGGTACCCTTTTATAGAAAAAATGCCTCTGGTCCTCAGATGTCACAAAGGAGAGTGGTGAGACAATACCTTGTAATGATTTCACAGAAAAGAATTTAATGAAGATTAGGAATTTATATGAAAATAATAAGGTAGTCCTTATTTCATGCTTTATTATTCCTTTATTTCTAGAACCAGAACTAGAATCTTTTGTCTCTTTATAAAAAAAGTGCTGATATAACATACATGTCTGTACTGCCAGAATAGAATCCCTCGATATTTATTTCCTAGGAAAACAAATCACCCCCAAGGAATTAGGTATACTGTCCATTTCTCTTCAAATTCAGTGTTTGATTTGGAAACTAATTATACTTCCATCATCAGGTGACAGATGGGAGGATGAATGCCTACTGTGTTGAGCCATTTTTTTGAGCTGGGTTCAAACGCAAACCAGGGTTTTTAAAGGAGGTTTATGTTTATTAAGTGTATCACATTCATCAACTTTCAAGTCCCATACTATTGTCAGATCAGGATATTTGAAAAGTTTACTTTAAACAGAGATTGCTGTTCATATTTTAATGACACTTTATCAGCTGTTCAGTAGAATTAAAGGATAGTTGTGGGGCTGATAAAGAATCAGAAAGAGTGCAGGAAGCATTACAGCTGTGACCTATTCTGACAGGTGAATGTTTTGGCATTTGCAGTTTAGTTGCTCTGTGCAAGAATTTGGTCAGATAAGATTCAGAAGAGATAATCATTATGCCACAGGGTTTGGTAGATACTAGAGTTTATTTGTATTGTCTAGGTACAAGTACATTGTCATGCCTGCTGTTGCAGTTGTATATAGTAGAGTACAAAACAGAGGTATGTATTGCAGTATTGTTGATGTGTATGTTAACAGGCACTGAGATACCAGGTGGGGCTGGTAAAGAATCAGAAAGAGTGCAGGAAGCATTACAGCTGTGACCTATTCTGACAGGTGAATGTTTTGGCATTTGCAGTTTAGTTGCTCTGTGCAAGAATTTGGTCAGATAAGATTCAGAAGAGATAATCATTATGCCACAGGGTTTGGTAGATACTAGAGTTTATTTGTATTGTCTAGGTACAAGTACATTGTCATGCCTGCTGTTGCAGTTGTATATAGTAGAGTACAAAACAGAGGTATGTATTGCAGTATTGTTGATGTGTATGTTAACAGGCACTGAGATACCAGAGTGTGAATGTTTTAAATTTGATTGCAATATGTAATATAAATCCCACATTATGGTAATATAATAAAATTTCCAAGCTGTTGATACTATTATAATACCAGTGTCTTTATCTACTATTCAATTTGTCTCAGTTGGTTGATATATGTACATAATTAATTATTAATTCATTACTAATTTTAAAATTCATTATATATTTTTTACTTCTGAGAAATTAAAAAGTAATCATGTATGTATTATGTGTATTAACTGTAATGTGTAGTTAAAGTTTTATGTTTGTAAAACATGTGTATTTGTGACATAAGATGTTTTTGGATAAAGTAGTGCTTGATGTGACTGTGTAAGTGCTATGCTGCATACCTAATATATAATTGTTATATTTCAATAAGTGCTTCTGTCAAAGAAATTTAAGTGATTTATATATTTAGGTTTGGAACTGTTACTATTATAATAAGGGAGGCAAACCTATCCAATATTTGGTGCCAAAGTTACATCAGAAGTGAGTTTAATATCAGTTTTAGCCTTCCAGATGTTGCATTTGTGTTTCTACTCTGAGGTAACATCTGGAAGGCTACTAATTTAAAACTGATGATGATGTGGAACATTGAAACTGTGGTTAAAGAATAGGACACTGAAAACATGTCCTATAAATTAGTTTCCTAGTCATAAAATAATATATTATCCATTTCAAGGTCTCATTGAATTACTTTAGCACATCTGCCTTATAAGCTCACTTCACAGCTGACTGTTGTAATATATATAGGTTTCCTGACAGTAATAAGGGGAACAAAATGAAGCTTGACTTACAACTGAATAACTTAAAAATTTTAATCAAGAGAAAATCTGTATTAAAATGTGACTGAAACATTCTGTTTTTTCAGTAAACTCTAGCAATTAAAGCTGTATTTATGTGTGTAACAGGCAATGGTGGCTCATGGCCGTGTGGAGTTACTGGCGCATCCTCTCAGCCAGAAATATCTTCAAATGAAGTGGAACTCTTATGGAAAGTACTTTCACTTGGCAAATTTACTCATCTACTGCATCTTCCTAGCATTTGTCACAATTTTTGCAGCACAACTTATGGATGATAATACCATGACTAGTACACCAACAAAAGATGTTAACTCAACTTATAATGGGTCCCATAATGTGGCCAGTCCGGAGGTATTAATGCTTTATACCATTTTTTCTTCTTCTAATATTGTAACTATTGAAATATGAAGGTTTATCCAATCGATGGTATGGAACTGAGTGAAAAATATAATTGTATCCATACTCAACAAAATTTTGTGTAGTAAAGTATTATCTCTATATTATATAGAATTAGATTTTATTTTTGGTTTCCTGAAGCTTTGCTATGAATAGATATTCTGATTTTATGATCATTAGAAAATTCTTAAGAACACAGCTTAACTATAAAAGCTTCTTAAAATGGAACTGTAGCATTCTACAACATTTATGAAACTTTGATGAAGTTATTGTTAAGAAATTGTCCAGTGTTTAACACATGCTTAGTCGAGCTCATGGTAGACCTTTATATAACTTACACTGTCATGTAAGTGGTAGAATGTGAAAAGGCGTGTTTTAAGTGAGCTCTATTCTAGAGAACAGATTATATGAGATACAGAATTGAAGCTTTGCACTGAAATGTATTATAAAATAAGCAGGGACTTTAATATTTTCTTTATAGAATAATTAGAATTATACTTTACTTGAAGGTATAAACATATTTTTATGATTTATATGAAAATCATAAATATTAAAGGTGGAATTGTTTTAAGTTGCATATTTGTTATTATTATATGATGATAATTGTTGTTTTTATAATTTTCATAAACATTAGTAGTAGAAATAGTAATATATATGAATCAGTAATGAACATGGTTTTCCAAACATCAGACTTAGTTTAACAGTGTCCCAAATTGAAATCAGTTTTTAAACATTTCACTCCAGGTCCAATTTTATCACCACCACCACCACAAGGCATTATTGCTGTTAATTATAATTTTAATTTTAAATTTGTCAGTCTTGGTCCAATATTGGACCAGAATATGATTTTCCAAATGTCAGAGTGAATTTAACAGAGGAACTGCAAGAAATAATAAAGGTGTTGTGCCTAATGAAAATGTTTCTTTTGCTCCTTCAGCCCACGAAGCATGGCAACTTGCCAGTGAGGTATACATGTGCTATAATTATTATAACGTACATTGCTCTCAACTCACTGCGAGAAGTGTTACAACTCTATCAGCAACGTTGGCACTACTTGCTGGATCCCATCAACCTGGTCTCATGGCTGCTGTATATCTCCTCCATCATTATGATTGTACCGGTGTTTGCTGATCAGTTGAGTGAACTGCAGCTTTCCTGTGCGTCCATTACTGTGTTTCTCAGCTGGTTCAACCTGCTTTTGTACTTACAGCGGTGAGTGAACATATTAATGAGATTTTATCTGCTATGGGAGCAGAGATGGTTACATTACCCCATTGCAGTGCACCATTGAACTTTATATGCATCAAAATAAAATTCTGAATCAATACAAAACTTTTTTTAACAAGTTCAATTAAAAATGTGATTTTGAATGGCAGTTATTCTGTTCCTTTCAAAGTGTTTAGTTCATCTTTTTTTTACAGGTTTGATCAAGTTGGAATCTACGTAGTGATGTTCCTGGAGATCCTCCAGACACTCATCAAAGTGCTTGTTGTATTCTCTATTCTTATTATTGCATTTGGACTTGCTTTCTACATCCTTCTGTCTAGGGTAAGTTCATAATTCCGCTAATCTGTACTTTTATTTTTTAAAATAAGGCTGCTGATACTCAGATTAAAGGAGGAGAACCAAACCGAGTTTCAGTTATTCTTTGATACAGTCATGTCTTAAATTCAGTGCCTGTTATATTTAGATGAGGTTTGGCTTCAGAGGGTTATTTTCACTTTCTGTTATTCATACTAAAAGCCTTTTGAAAATCCAGCCTAGCTTTCATATTGAAACATTTATCAACTTCTGACTTCAGTGACAAATTTTATGTAAGTTATAAATTGTGGCAAATTATTACAGCAGTTTGAAGTGAACCAATCATTTACTGTTAACATTATTTTGAAAAAGTTATACCAGCATCTCTTAGTGCTACATTTGTCAATCAGTTCAAATGCTAGTTTTCTACACAGTATTTAACCTTTTGCTTCTCTGTCATTTAGACTGATACAATTACACAATTCTTTTTATTATCTTAAATTCTATTGGCTGTACCAAACTTAAATGTATTTTGTAACTAACTGAAGTAAATTTCTTATGCAGGGAGGCCATTTATCATTTAGCAATGTGCCCATCTCTCTTATACGAACATTTTCAATGATGCTTGGAGAGATAGACTTTCTTGGCACATATGTACAGCCGTACTATGATGATGATAATGGTTTAGAGAAGAAACTACTGCCATATCCTATTCCTGCATTTCTCATCCTTGGTCTTTTCATGGTCCTTATGCCAATTCTTCTCATGAACCTTCTCATTGGTTTGGCTGTTGGAGACATTGAATCAGTTAGAAGAAATGCTCAGCTCAAGAGACTTGCTATGCAGGTGAGAAGGTTTGTCAGTGATAGCTCTGTTAATATAGTGACTAGGCTACATGCTGGATGACCAGGGTTTGATTCTCAGCAAGGGCGGGGATTTTTCTCTTAGTCACAGCATCCAGACTGACTATGGAACCGACCCAACCTTCTATACAGTAAGTACTGGAGTCTTTTTCCCTGGGAGTGAACTGGCCAAGACGTTGAGTTTAAGAACATGTGGAGCTATACACCAACTCCCTGTATGTCTTTTTGGTGGTGTTCTTGATTAAGTACAGAAATAACTTTATTTTAATATGAGAATGAGCATATGAAACTTTACCGTCTCTCACTGTGTAGGTTGTGCTACATACTGAACTTGAACGCAAGCTGCCGCAGTTTCTGCTGGAGAGAGTGGACAAGATGGAACTCATTGAATTTCCTAATGATACAAAGTGCAAGCTTGGGTTTCTGGATACATTACTGAGGAAGTGGTTTTGTAATCCCTTTACAGATGATGATAAGTATTTTATTATTCAAAAAGGATATACTGTATTGTTGGTGCTATTTTTGTATTCACATAGCCAAACAACTATCATGCATTCTTTGCAAAAAGGGAGGCCATGTCTATTAATCTGCACGCATATTTCATCTCAAAAATATCAAAAACAATGGGTTTTGATGGAATATAGTCTTGGTAAGGATGAACAAGCTTGTTTGAGACCAGTGCAGCATGGAAAATCACAAAGAATTAATTTGGAAAGTTTTGTACTCATTTAAGGTATACCTTTTATCTTTCTCTGTGGCATATTATCACTGCTTTCAACAGATTCTCATATGTCATAAATGAATGGGCACACCAACTTCATGCATTTTTATGCTATAACAATAGACATGATAAAATTATTTGTATTTTTAAATATGCAAATTCAGGTACTATTTTTAATCAGAATCCCTCTAAGTAACTAGATGGCTTATGGAACCCGAAGGTTCATCACCGAATTAACCAAAGCCCTGTCATCAGAATTCCACATGAAACAAAATACAGTTTAGTACCAAAAAGGAAATTCAATTTTATTTTGGCTCAACAGACAAGTTTCTCTTCCTTTTAAGGCTCCGTAATCATTTTTGAAATTTGATTATATGTGAACTTCTTTGACCATCCATGACCTTTTTCTTTCCATCCATAATTCATCAGCATCAACAAATATCTCCTTCATCTCTTCTTTTTCATATGGCACTGTATAACAACCATGCTGCTATATTTTATCATTAAATCCTATGATTGATTACGAAAGAAGATTAATCATGTTAGAAATTTTCTGTTGTTTTTATAGATGGACACATTTGAAACATGCACTGGAAATATGGTGTATTAAAATTATTTCTGTTTTCTATAATATTTAGCACTGACAGCATTATTTATGTTCAGTAAACAGCTATGTTAGTGAAATAAATGAAAAGAGGAAGTTAAGGACCCATGATCATCTGTACTATCATTCTGTTAACACTTTCCATACTATGAACAAAACATATCACTTTGGACCCAGTCATTTTCTGTGAATTTCTGTTGAAAATTTCAAAATGGAAAGTTTAACTCTCACAAGTTTTGTTTTCGATTGATTTGCCTCTTCTTACTGTGCGGACGCAGCATCCAGATTGCCAATTTCTTGTATTGCAGGTCTTGAGATTGTGCTGGACAGTTCAGATGATTATGTGTCCGAAGAGCTAATAAAGCAGAAGAGGAGGCTGAAGGAGATCTCATCAGCACTGGAATCACAGCATCTACTCCTGCGTCTCATTGTCCAGGTTTGTCTTCCTGCACCATTAATGCTTCTTTAAATTTAATATGTCTAATACTTTCAGTAATATGTGCTACTGCTAAGTTAATCTCGTTTTTTTTGTAAATTAAACTTTTAGTACAAATTAAGCTTCTTTGAATTTAAATATTTATTTTAAACTATCAAATAAATGGAGTTTTGTTCTTTTAAACACAAAATATAACTATCCCCAAAATTTCCCAGGGATTAGAACCTTGTAACTGCATATTTATATATCAGTATATTTGTATTCAAAGGTATAATGATTGTGAATATAGTTTTCTTTTTGCATTAATATAACAGCTTAGACCATTATCAATATAATTTAGGAGTTTGAAAGCACTTATTAGTTTTGTAGAATTTTGACATGATTTTATATAGTCACTATTGTTAAGTTGTACTAATGATATTTGACAATTGTTTATGCCAATCTTGCAGTTTACTAGTAAATTATATCCTTCATCCCCAGCTGATGTAGGAATGTTGAATGACGCTACTTTAATAATGAAATAACCTGGAGTATAACAAATATTATTTTGTAACTGAACACCATGCAGAAGTATATTTCAGGAAGTCCTTTTTATCTTCAACTAAAGTTTGTTGCCTTATGTTTGGTAAAAAATTCTGAAAAATCTTCTGAAAACCGCTAAATTTAATATCTACATAGTATATTTTCTTTTATTAGAAAATGGAAATCAAGACAGAAGCAGATGATGTTGATGAGGGAGTTTCTCCAAGTGATATTCGCCCCTTGCTTGGTATAGCTAGTAAATGGACTTCTCCCAGAGTCCGCAAGAAACTTCGATCTACATTAAGCTTCTCGAAGAACCAGACAGCGTAGCAACTTAGACCTGTGAAAATTATATTTACTGTCATTTAGTGGACAGATTTTCTGTAAGAACAGTGAGACTCAGCATTCTGCAGTGTATGCCACTAAATATGGTCAATAGTACATTCTTATGGAATAACTTTGTTGTATTGACTAAATTCTGTATCCTAGTCACCAAGAGTAGTACAATCCACAAACACCGCAGCATATGGCAGTAAATAGGCACTTTTAAAATAACTGCTGAAAATTTTCATATAATTACTTACGAGCTGAGGGACTGTCAGCTTCTCTGTAAGGACAGTGTTCCATGGAGTTAGTTAAAATTTGTTACAAGAGTATTGAAAATAGCTGCCCCCAATTTTTTTGACATTCCTCTTAATTTTCAATGTGTTATCATTTTATGTGGCATGATTATAGTCACTGTCATAACTAATGCTTTCACTGCAGCCAATGTGAAGACACTTGTCCCTGATAAGATTCATCTGTCCTGTGAATCATTCAAATTGAATATACAATTTCATGTTTTATTTTTTCATTATATTTTCAGACTTATTCTGGTAAGCATTCTATCCATTATTAACCGATTATTTTATCATATTTCCTTTTTAATTAACTAAAGTTTACCTGCGTAATCTATATATTATTAGTCATGTCTGACACTAAGGAGGTAAGAAAATTTGTATGTGTCATACATTCTGGACAGAAGTCTATGTTAATGTTTGTAATTTAGAATAACAGTTGTGCATAATACTGTAATTAATACAACTGCCTGAATTAGGGTGTTTTATATGCACTTGGTAATACTTTATTAAATATTGCACAGATTTTAAGCAACAAATAGAGAATCATTACTGAGACCATGCGTTTCATGCATAAGCAGGGGGTTTTAATTTCAGAGTGTTTTGTTACTTATAAATTCCTTAAGGTGAATTTTTAAATCTGTGATCTGTTATATGACATTTAAAAGTTAGAACCTGATTCAAAGATAGTTTTATTTAACCTGACTTTAGAAAATAAATACAGAGCTCAAAATTTCATGGAGTACATTCAGCATGTGTAATGTTGCATTTCGGCCAAAGCATGTCATTTTCATTACTTTCCTACCACTTTGTTGGATCCATAGTAACATCGTAGTCACTGTACCAACACATCATATGTTAATGCAAAAACATATTTATCTGTGAATTGTAAGTAATGTTTTTTCTATATACCCTAGTTCACAAGTGGAACAGTAAACAGTTTTGTTTTACAGAAGTATGATATTGTTCCTTGGTTTAAGTATCACTTCACTAATGTTCACACTGCACTATGTACACATTTCCTGTTGCTGATTCAAATCCAATGTATATGAAGCTGTTGTTCTTATAAATATTTGTGCGTACCATATTTAAATGTCTTCTTGTCATAAAAGTTCATGATCCTGGATATTGAAATGGGATATAAACTATATATTTGTTATCAAATAATGTAAGCATATAATAAAGAAATGTATATTAGATGTAAGTTAATTGATTAAGTTACTTTCACCATTACTGTCTTTGTTACTAGCATTGGCAAATTTATTTACTTCCTGAGAATTTCTTGAAGTACATCTTTCTCAAATTTAGTGTCTCCCCTAAGATTCACCGTCATTGATGTAATGTAACTTGTACCTAGGACATATTTCAGATTTAGCTCAAATGTCTCTTTTCAGTGGTCTTCCACCTTTTTATTTTGAATCTACAGGGCATCAAACTGAATCAGAAAGGTTCACTGAAATTCTTCCATAGATGGACTTACTAAAAGAAATTCTGGATCTCATACAGTAATATGACATGTGCCTAATTTTTATTATATATCAAGAAAACCTTTCTTTATCCTTTTGTATATATAACAATTTATATTAGCCTGTCAGCACATCACATCCAGGAACAATTATGCGAGCTCCTTAGTGATCATCTTCTATAAACTCAGATTTGCCTGTAACCCCACTGTACAATGCCTAGAATGGCAGAACATTTAAATAATTACCTAAAGTGGGGAAATGTTTGACCTTTAACTGTGCTAATATGCCAGGCTTGGTATATAACACAAGGGGCTAAACACCAAGTCTTTGTGGACCTCCATTCAGGAACTCTGCAAGTGCTACACAGAGCTTCTCTCCAGCTTCTATTAGTGTTTCTTTGCTATGGAAAGCAATAGCAAGTCTCAAATAGTTTTTACATTCTCCAGTCAGAGAAAACTTGCTTCCGGGAATTGCTGATAATCTGTACGTTCTCTGGCACCATGGAACAAACACATTCATATCTGCATACTCTGGAAGACTGACCCACACAAAGTAACCGCCTTCTGGCCTAATGTATGAACAGCTGCGAGGAAGAAATTTGTCCAAAGTAGAACACAGGGCAGCCATCCGTTCCTAGAAAATTACACCACAGGGAGTGATGAAGATACTTCAACAAAAGGTAAAATTATAATTGAAGGAGCAATAAAAGAATAGTAAGTAATGTCCATTTTTACAATGTTACCTTGAAGGTCTTCACCAGAAAATTCAGCATTTCTCCTTCCAAACCCAATTCTAGCAAGCTGGTTATAAGACCTGCCATGTATTGGTTCACGCCACCACCACTCCTGAGGTACCCCCTGAAACACATTTGTTAGATGCTGAACCTCAGGGAATGAAATATTTTGACGTCTTTTACAGATTCAATAAATAAAATTTGGCCCACAACACATTACTGAACCCATTACAATCACAGTCATAATCACATGATTCCAAATTACTAAGAATCTCATAGAATTTATCAGATGTGGAAGACATCTGAATTTCTTTCACACCAACTGATTAGAAAGAGCCATATCATGTGTTTAGATAATCCTCAATATTGTTATAAACATTCTAAAAGAAAGAGTTTCTCTTCTAATTTCTTTCTTCTCTTTTACAGCAGATTTATTTCATGGTTTGTTTCCATATGGAGCTTGAAGGTAACTTCTCATTACCATCCATTACCAAGGTCAGAGAATGGATGGATCTTTACCTCCACATCCTTGATGGTGAGCACTTTGATACAGGGATGAGTTCAGTTCATCTATAGACTACTTTATTTCTTCTTCCTCTCCAACTATTATTTTAACTCATTTACCAATATCATGCTGTTATAATTTTGCCAACAGTGTTAGTTCAATATTACCATTACAATGACCAAATTGATGCTACACTATAGCGCATTACTCTGTTTATTATGTAACATGGTTAGGTGTACATGTGCAAATTTATAGATGATGTAAGCAGTTATATGAACTCTTTTAATAATTCGGAAATGTGAGGAGAAACACGAAGGCTTATTTCGTCCATGCTGCGACACCCACTAAGGACAGCCTTGTACATAATCTGACACATCTACCCATTTGATTAAATGGACCTAAAAGTGTATTTTGTGCCAGACTTCACATAAGCGCTTTTAAATTGGCTGTTATGCCACTTACGAAGCACGAAAGATGTTTGCAAGTCTTGCAGGTGCTTCCAGCCAGCCAACTCTCACACCAGGTGCCATTATCTTGGAGAAAGAACAGTTGGAAATAACATTCCCACCTGTATATCCCTCTAGAGTTGCATCAAAAGCAAAGAGTCTCTTGGGTGGATGTGGAGTATCACCATAGTACAGAAGAGTATACACATCATCACACACGACAAGAAATTCCAAACTGCGGGCTGCCCTCACCAATGCCTCACAACGTTCTGAAACATATCAGCTGAGAAAAAATTCAAGTAATATATTGCAGCCTTGAAATAACAATGTTCTCCCTTCTTATGGCCTATTACGATCAAGATCATTACAACTTATGATCACCATTATCAACTTCAAGAACTTGTTCCATTTTGTTGACCTGTTATGGCCTCAATTATCTAACAGATCCATATTTGTTGTTCTAATTAGTTTGTACTTCATAATTAATCTCTGTGTTGTCTGTAGTTAAAATTCTTTTAATACAGGCTGTCTTCAGTTAATAAAAGATGTGTTAATTCCTTCTGCAGTCTTTGCATGTTTATTTTATGGCCCATCTCATTAATTGTGATTTTGGACCTGTCTTTGACATTTATTTTCCAGGTCTGCCTACAATAGAGAAGAAATGTGACAGCTAATGTGGTACAGTTTCTGTACCTGAAATTCTCTGAACATTTACCTACTGCTTACTTTTGGGCAGTATTACCCCAGTTGGATTGTGAAATATTGGAATTGTGTAAAACATTGCCCAGAATGGTTTTCCCTCAGTCATGGTCCAGGAGCCTCTGGACTTCTCTTTCCTCACAATTTTCTCCATAGCTGCAACATCAACGCCTTCCGAATCTGTGGGAACTTAAATATATACCACATAATAAGATTTCGGTAAGAATAATATGAACACGTACAGAAAACACAACCATTGATAAAATCAAACTATTTAACTCGTGGCCTGAAGGTTACATTAAAAGGAATTTAAGGATTCCACTAACAGAGATTGACTGTACGATGAAATATATATAAGTACATTGCAGAGGTATAAAACCATACTGTTTTTTTTAAATTCCTTTCATTAAAACTCAAATACCATCTACCTGAATCCAAAAAACTTAACATTTGTCTGATTATCACTTTTTATATTAACTTCAAAATTACTTTCAGTGTAGACCTCTCGTATCAAATGTCATCACTTGTAAAGCACACAGCATAGGTCCACACAAATGACTTCCTCAGTATCTGGAATGGAGGAGATACTGGGGCCCGCGCGCGAGCTGATGAATGGGTCGTTTAAGTGCTAAGTGCTAAGCACAAAAACACAAATACTGACTTTCATACAACACATCTAAGTGCCAAGCACAAACACACAAATACTGACTTTCATACAACACACCCAAATGTTTTTAAATATTAGTAGGTAGTATATTTTCAGATAAAACTAGAAATTACACTGTTAGCCTAAAGAGAGAGATAGGTTCGTAGAAACAGTGGAATTCTGTCCTTCAAATTATGAGTTGAGAGTACATTGCATTTAGTCAATCAAAACCTGTTTTAAAACTAACCTGTGACTATCTTCATACCACTGAACTGCTTGAACATATCCAACGCTATCATATAAGTGGCTTCTTCAATAAAAATAATTCCACTTGGGTGAAGAATAGTTGTTAAGATCATCTGCAAACCATGTGTTGCTCCACATGTCAGAATAAGGTTCTGCCTGCAAACAAATTTACAGAATGCGCATATAAGACCTTTCTTGTGGTACTTTGTACAGACATCTTTCTTTCTGAACCAAAAAGGGTAAAAATCTTCAACGAAATTTATCCAAAGTAACACTGAATTTTCATTGTATTGATTTTTTATTGTTCAGTTCCCAAAAAAAGAAGTTGTAATTTTTTATGATTCGAAGATTCATTCCTGTTGTCAGAAAAATTAAGAAATATTGTGCCCCTTCCCAGCTCACAGTCAAGTTCTGACCCCTTTATTTTTATCAAAGCATCTCAAGTTTCTTTTCTTCTGAAAAAACTTTGCAGTCAGAAATAAATTAAATATCCTAAAATTATTATTGAATTCATACTTATGCTGTAATGGCAACAATATGAAATATCAATAAAATCTGCTCGGGCAATCAGCCGCGTTAAATGGTTACCATGGTAAACCAAAGTTTCGAGAACAAACTCTGTCCCCATCTTCAGGGTTCTGATGTGACTGGATCCTCGGAAGTCGCCTGTGTAACTGACTGCTCGGGACCAGTGCGCATGTCCGGACCCAGGCCCAAGGAGCTAGGGGGCGGTGTCAAGCACTCGGTTTGTTTGGCTCTGCTTACTGATTGCCCGAGAAGATTTTATTGATTGTACTCGCTGCGAAAGTCTCAAATCCTATAACATGAAATATGCCTGATGTTTGTATCATCAAAGGTCAATAATAAGGTTTAAGACAAATATTACAAGTTTGAATACCTATGTACTTTTTCACCATATCTAGCACTAAGGAACTTGGCCAACTCCTCTCTGAATTCCCAGAGACCTGATGTTATGCCATATTGAAATAAGTATGCATGTTCTTCTTCCTTCATCTGTAACAAAACGAATCAGCTACTATAGTTCTAAGAGCCACTAGCACACTGCTTGTTGAGATGTAGTGTTGTGTCATACCACCATCTACAAGCTGCCCAAGAGTATTTAAACAGACACACTTGGGATACATAAAAACTGGTTTTAAATTATTTCAAAGAGCAATGTGATTCATCATAACCTCTAGAAACAGAATCATTTAACAACCTAAGAATCATTAGTAGAATTACATGTGTTTTGTACCAACAAGCATCATTTATCAGATGATTTACAATCAGCTAAAGAATTCTCTAGAAGACAGGTCACAGCCAGTAGCTGAAGGGAGTTTATCTAGATGGCCGTCATCTGCCCTGTTGTACATTATAGTCTTTTGGCTGTTTTCTGCATTTTAGACTGTATAAGATGGAGCTTGAGTCTCAGCATTATTTGCCTATTGTGAAACCTGGTTGTAATGTCGAGTCCTTGAGACTTACTAATCCCCAACAGATAAGAAATGGCCATAATTCTCTGGCTGCTTTGTTTTTCTGGGCACATCTGGTGTGTAAAATTGTACTCTGATATGTGTTATCATGTTTATTTAAAATAATGATGTACAGTTTGTGAGATTTCAGGTTCTCATGGTAGTGAGTCTATCTTCTGGGATGTTGTCCCTTGTAGTCTGGTAGAAGTTTACCGATGTTTCAAAGATGCTTACTGCTTCCAACATCAGGGTGATCACCTCAGAAGAGCTGATAAACGCCTACTAGTCTACACAGCACAACATCCCACAAGGTAGTCATCTTGGCCCAGAAAGAGCGAAAATTAAATTAGTGTGATAACGTTTGTGTATATTCCAAGTTTCATTGAAATCCGTTAAGTAGTTTCAGCGATGAAATATTAAGGCTGAAGGAAGTATGTACACGACTTCCTCACTGTCCATAAGTTTTGCACACTTGTGCAGAAAGAAAAACTGACACATCAAACTTCCGGCGCCAAATTCCAAATCATTATACAGTGTCCCAAATGTTTCAGGTCAGATAAGGACTTTAATCTTTGGCGAAATATGAAAAAAGTGTACCTCTAATCTGGAAAGACGTCTATCTTTTGCTGCCATGTCAATGTGGTAACATAGCAGTACTGTTTACTATAAAAGAGCGTACTGTTTACTATAAAAGATCGTAACGGATCGTCCTTGATAAAGAATTCCACAACACTTTAAATTGGGTACATGGTTTGCAACAACTTTTCCCTCTTTACATTTTTACGTACTTTGCCAAATAACTGCGAACTCCTATGGCTTGGGACGTATAGGACACAATGCAATCTTACCATTCTGTGTACCGTCGCTTGTTTGAACATTTTAACACAACGCTTCAGAAGGTCAGGACCAGG